AGAGTACCACACTGAACAATTCTCATTTAAGCAGATAAATAACTTGTTGGATTTTGCAATTTCTCAGCTCGTATTTAGTTATTCTGATGTTTTGGAGAGTTTGCTTGTGTAGGATTATGTTCTGTCATCACCTAGTGTTTTATCACATAGGTAATCTGCACAGAGATTCAGCATATGGGAATGAGATAGCTAGATTTTGAAAACTTCCCAGAATCTAAATGTTGCCTGAGATAATAATAGGAGCATTAAAAACAAAACCAAACCACAAATGGTCTGCTTTTTTAATTGTCTAAACAGGAGCAGAATTATTTCAAAAATAGCTTATAGAGTTTATATGCAGGGCTTTAGAAAATCTGGCCTGCTGATGATAATTCTGAGCTTGATTACAATCTCATATGCAAGGGGAGAAGGCTTTTTGGAAATAATATAATTTGTCTTGTATTACTTCCCTGCCTGGAGCATTATGCTACAAAAAAGCAAATTTGAGGCTAAGGCAATGGATATTATTCTTGTGGCTTCCACTGCTATTCACCAAACCATTGGTCACAATTTTGCACAGCAAGCTATGCACACCTGTGTATTGACAAAGATGCCTAACGCCTTCCTGCGCTAAGATGCTTAAAAAGTTTTATGCCTTCCTAGGAAAAACAAAAACAAGAACAAAAAAAACTGCCATGGAATTTCAGCTGAAAGTATGTGGTTCCGTGATAATATTTTGCAGGTTTCTGTTCAATTTGTTCAATGTGTTGAGCTTCCATGCAGATTAACTAGACAATCAAACACGGAGGGTGAGGAGATAACTGTGCCTTGCCACACTCACTAAAGTCCAGAAACAAGAAGTTATCTCCAGTCATATATTATCAGTGTGTATTTTGCAGAGTGAATATGGAAATGTGCGTTCCTTGACTGAGATGATATTACACAGGCCAGCAGGCATGCATTGCCGAAAAGAAATGCTAGAAAATACAGATATTCAGGCTGCCTTAATAAACAAAGCTTGCGCGCTTTTGCTGCTTAAATCCTTCTGCTGGGCTCCCAACAGTGTGGGCCTTTTGCTGACACAAGTCCTTTGTTGCTTTGTCAAGGCCTTTCGCATCGTGACAACCCTCGCTCCCTGTTATCACCCGTGTTGCTTTCTTAGAAAGTCTGTCAAGTCAGTGAAGGTCCATGGGTCACAGAGAGAGGTCCTGACCGGGGACTGTGAAAAGCTCGAGGTTAACGTGGGTGCCTTTCTGTGGGCCCTGCCAGGGTTTCAGTATATTTCCAGCGCGAGGAATACGTATAGAGTAGGTCCCAGTGCACCTTTCATTCAAGCAGTGCCGCGCGGGGAGTGTTTCCACGGTTAGTTTCCAGCGTTTCTCCTCAGGATGTGCTTATTTTCTTTGCTATCTGGCCTTTGTCATTCTTTGACTGATGGCACGTGTAAGAGCTCTGCTGCCGTGATACGGCGGTGACTTAACAGTGGCAACATCCAAAACGCGATCAGCAGTAAGTGCTGCAAGACTTCTCTTCAACGTTGAGCGTATATTTTGACCAAGTCATTCTGTCAGAGATGGCTTCCTCATCTCCTTTCTAGAAACCACAGAAAGGGTTTTTCTCACCCTTTCTTGCCTGCACAGAGCAAACTTTGCCCTGAGCATTTGACAGGAGCCCTGCTGGTGGAGGGAGTGGAGCTGTGACAGGCGCAGGAAGAAGAGGATGGAGAGGAGCCAAGCTGGCATGAGATGCGCTAGGAGCCAAGAGGAGGGGGGCAGAGAGGCGAGGAGAGGGGGAGATCCGCGTCCAGTTATCATTATAAATATCTGTGCCGGCTTTAAAATCATTTTTCTCCCTCAGACAAGGTCATGCCTCACCAGAACCGGAGAAACTGGCACAGGCTGTGACAAAAGTCAGCTATCTCTTGTAGCGTTGGAAGCCGTAGCAGATCTCAGTCCACACACCCAGGCTATAGTTTTATCAGCACAAGCTTTCTCATATGCCTGGCAGGTCTGATTAGCTATTGCAAAAGAGTAGCTGAAAGGAAAAAAACCTAGTGTAAATGAAAGGGGAAAAAAAAAAAAAAAGAATCTCTTTTCTAACGTGTCTGTGAGCAGCTTTTACTGCTTTCCCTGGAGAGCCTGCATGCTTGGACAGCGAGTTACTGTGAAATAGTGAGGGTCACTGCCATTGATTAAGTACTCTTTTATGTTTCCTGGTAACTCCTGAATTATGGCAAGAGTTGAGCATATTAATTTCACACTTTCTTTTTGCTGACAGCCCTGATGGAGGAAAAATTCTGCAAGTCATTTTGAGGAGATAATATTGAATTAAAATAAAATTCAGGAACAAAATGGCATCTCCCTCTCATTCCCAGTCTTACACTGATGTGTTGACAGGAAAATCAATAACCAGCTGAAGTCTTAAGCACAAAATTTTGGAGCCTTACAGTTATGCTTGTTCCCCTAATTTATAGAAGATATGTACTAGGAATACTACAAGTGAAATATAGTAAAATAAGTAATATTACATTTGTATTTCATACCTCTGCAGCTCCTTTTCTCATTTTGTGACAGAAGACTACAACCTTACTTCTTAAATGACAGGCTGAAACTGTCAGCACTAACCTTAGCAAAGCTGTTAATTAATGCTAATTACTTTGTGAGAAATTTTAAAGATGACATTCTTCATTCGTTTGGGTAAACGTCCCAATATTTATACATGTGTACATATATATGTGTGTGTGTACAGATATGTATATGTATTCACACAAACACACACAGGTATATACATACATAAGCATATTGCTTTTAGAATGGTGTGTGGGCACTTGTTTCGCAGCAAACAAAACATGTTTTCATGGCATTTGGGGGATGAGTTGGAATTTCTTAAATTATGACATGAGGAAAAAGATGGAAACCAAAACACAGGAACACGTTGTTGAGGGAAATTTCTTCCCGATCGTGAAACTCTAACCTTCAAGCACTTATCTAGTCTGTTATATTGCCTGAAGGCAGTCCACTACCCCCAGCTAAAATCTCCCCTGATGGAAATTAATTCCACGTCCTCCCCAGACAAGCTATTCCTGTGTGTGCTGGTCTCCCTGTCAGATATATTGCCGATGTCTAGTCTAAGACTTCCTGCCAGTTACTTTTTGTCCTAGCCAGTGGAGACACACAGAAAATGTTGTTACCTTCCTCTTAATCAGAATTTTTTTAATTATTGAAAGCTGTTGTCTTGTTCTGTCCCCATCCTGGCTTTTCTGCCAGTGGCTGGGCCCCCTCATTCGGTCTTTTGTCCGTGTTTCCCCTGCCGCCAGCCATTTATGTTGTTCTCCTCTGAGCTGCTCCCAGTGGGTTCCCAGTTTCCAACGACATCAGGCCTTCCCTGATTTCCCGTGCTGAGAACATAAACGGTTGCGTCACGTGTGGGATGGGCAGTGCTCATGTTTATACCAGGCAAGAGCTTATCAGACCAGTGTTTATCCTGTTCTTCTGACAAATATTTTGATATGTATCTCTCAGAATTAAGGCTGTGATGGTACCACTTGGTTTCAGCCCGACTGGAATAGTAAGTAAGGGCAACTGACGTCAGCAAGTCTCCAAAAAAACACAAGTGACAGATATCAAAAATTATCAAATGTATTCCAGGATGTTTAAAGTCTTCACATCACAGGACCATACTGGAGACTTGCTCGTGTTATGATGAAAGCTTCTAATTTCTGCGCTGCAGAGAACCATTTGGCCGCCGAAGGCAGAACCCATGCCGGCCACTTGTTTCCCTAGACAGTCGTATAGTAATGCAAGAAACAAAAAACAGTAGATTTTACCAAAGGTGCTGCGTGGGAATACTGTCCCCCTGAGGATCCAGACCTGCAATGGGGCACAACTGAGCTGAGCTGGATTCACAAGCCACCACCTATCAGCTGCCCTGTTGCAGTTGGCAGCCCTTCCCTTATCACCCCTCCCCACTAAGGTGACATATGTGTTATCCTGCGCCTCAGCATAAATAGGGTTAAATTAAGTGTTTTACCTAATTTAATTTAATCAGTTTAGGTGTTTTACCTGTTGGAGCAGGATAGATGCTGGCTTAGAGTTAGCCCATGGGGTCACATGGAGGGTTGCCTCTCACAGAGTGACTGCATCTTATTGCGAAGGCCATGCCCAGAGGCCTGTACTGGTTGTGGAGTATTAGAGGTCTTCTTTAACTGGGAAAGCCCTAAATGGTTTGAGATTGACCTACACAAGAAACACCATTGACACAAAGTTACAGAAATTGAGAAATCAGCTGAAGTCCCTGCAGTGCATGTGAGCCATTGGCTGGGCATTTTCAATGTAATGTCCCTTTCTGGATCCAAAATATCCTTAACTGACATTGATTCTCTTGAAAGGCTTCCAAACCCATCTCTTACCTCAGGGAAAGGTTATGGCCAAGCTGAGTTTTAAGCTGGGTGTGTAATGTGGTTTATAATGTTTGGCTGGGGCAAGAACCTTCTCCCCAGGTTAGAGAAGCTGTGGGCTTGTATTTATGCTTTTAGCTCTCCATCAGATCAGTTGCACCTGGATCCTTTGGACAGCCACTAGCTCAGAGCAGTTGGAATAAGTAATGCGGCAAAACACCTTCCCTTTCTCCTTCTGCATTGCCTACTGAGACTGCCAGCCCCAGCATGCTGTCCTGCGTCTAGGCACATGTGATCAATTAAGTATTTTTAAAGCTTCATACCAAATGTGGAACCCCATTTTAGTTCACAATAAGGCTGCATTTAGCTTGCAGGCCTGTCACACAAGACCCGTGTAGGAAGACTCTGAACGGTCAAGCTAGCCTCTTATTAAACGCTCCCATACGCACTAATTTTGGTATCCATAACACACAAATGACTCTTGTCTATCGTATTTTGATGTAGGAAGCTTCGCTAGTCTGGTTGGGATTTTGCTCTCTGCGGCTTACCTTAGCTCAACTTCAGTTAGCACTGTTTTCCCTAACAAGGATGGCCTATTCACCAGCGCATTCTTTTATTTCTTTAGCGGTGCCTCCCAAATTGAAGGAAATGAAAAACCAAGAGGCTGCTGTGGGTCAGAAGCTAGTGCTAAGGTGTGAAACCACTTCAGAGTACCCTGCGCTCAGATTCAAGTGGTTAAAGAATGGAAAAGAGATAACCAAAAAAAACAGACCGGAAAATATCAAGATCCCCAAAAAACAAAAGTAAGTACAGAGACATATCTTACAGGGGGGGCTGGGAGGGAAGGGGTGCAAGCTGTTCACCAGAATGCAGGCACTGAGGTTATTAGCTGCAGTGTCTCTGCCGCACAGAGCTAATTGCTATGAGTTATGGAAGAAGAACATCTAAGGAACCAGATGCTGTCTTTATTTTTCTTGAACTTGTGCATGAAGCTGTAGTATGGTACAAATAGCCCATAATTTTCCCTTTTAAATTCCTATTTTTATTCCAATAGCCAAAGGCTGTCATTTTAACTTATAAGCCTCAGAGACAGGCCATTTCTAAACTACTCATAAAACAGAGGTACCTAATGCGTGTTGTCTGAAATCCGAGAATGTTTAAAATCATCAAAGTGACGCAGATTTGGGAATATTTTTGAGAGTCGCTTCATGAACAGTCCAGGCCTGAAGGAAGGCTGAACTCCTTCTGCAGTAGCTCTGGGTTCCCTGTTCTCAGCTGGCAGTAGCCCATTACCAGAGGTGTCCCAGCACCTACAGAGTGAGGCACCAGTCTGTCAGATGTCAGATGAGCTGGTAGGCCTGTGAATCCCATCCTCCCACCCAGCAGAGAGTCTGCCCGATGTGTGACTAGTGACCAGTGTCAAGGGACGGGCTGGTGCCTACTTGCTGTGGGGAAAGCAGAAGAAGCTATGCAATACTCTGCGTGCTTTGAGGCAGGAGAGAAGTCTATAGCTACTTTGTCCTTCCGACGCTGTCTAGGTGTAAAAGCTTTGAATATGGCTGCTTCTTCATAGAAGGGAGCTGTAAACATCTGTGTCCAAGCCCAGCCCTGCAATGCCCACTTCTGTCCATAGATAGGGGTGCTGCAAGCTGCACCATCTCTTCCCTCTGTGCAGGGTGCAACAGATCTGGGGGGCTCTACAAGAGAAGGTATTTCTCTCCAAGGTGTTAAGTGCCCCTGTATTTGTGGCCAGCTCTCATTTCCTTTGAGCAAACAGCAGCCACAGTCAAGGAGGTGCTTGTCCTTTTGGACTCATGCAGGATGAAAACGAGACGTCCTGCCCTCCCATCCAGTTTCTCCTGCCACGGCCAGGCTCTGGTGAAGCAAGGAGGGGGGCAGAGCAGCACCACAGCTGTCCCGTGCCATGGTTGCACAAATGGCAAGTAGGGAACCAGTGATGTCTCTTTCCAGCACTGTTGAAATGGAGCTGTTCCAGGTGGCACATAGCCTGGTAAATTGTCTAGACCCTTTTGCAAGGCCATATGTCTCAGTCAGAGTCAGGTTTTTAGTCTGTTCCACAGAGAAAAGGCTCAGGTCAGAGCCTGGACCTCGGCCACCCTGGCTGCACAGTGCTGCCTGTGCAGGAAAAAAAAAAATATTTTCTCCCATTGCATTTTGGCTGATGTTGACTGAGTGTGAAGCTCGAACCCCAGCAAACTGAGCAGAGTTAGGATTTCACCTTCTGTTTCTTCATGTTCCTCAGGGCTGGGCTTTATCAGCACAGCTTTGGATCAGTTCCAGTCTTGGCTATTCGTAGGTACTGGGAGACAGAGGAGCCCTTAGTGGAAGGAGTTATCATGTGGGGTTGAGCAGGAAATAGTTTTGAAGCCCCAGAACTGGGGCTGGGATGAACCCAAAGTCTCTCCAAGTTTTATGGAAGAAAAAGAGAAAGAGAGGAGGTGGTAAAAGAGAAACTAGCTAATAGCCATTGCTTAGAACATGCATGTGGAACACGTGAGGCTACTTCTGAGGTTTTGAGGTTTAAGTAAATGTTTAACATTCCCCAAAGATACATGTTGCGGTAGAATAACAAAAAAAACTAACAAACCTGACTTTTTTTGAAAACGGAAATCTGAAATTCTCGTCCTCCGCCTTAAATGCAGGCTTTCAGACTTGTAATGCTGGATTTCAGACTTGTATTCACTACCCCAACAGAAACTTATTCTGGAATAGAGACAACTTCTCACTTAGAGATGTGAAGTCACTAGATGTAAAGTAAGAAAAAGAGGAAGACAAGGATTTTCTTTGTCCGTATCTGGGGGATTTGGCTTGCCTTTTTGCTTTGAGACTGTAACCTGGGGAAGCATCACTGCCTTGCCATTCCTTCTTTTGCTTTTTACATGTTATTCCAGGATTGAGTGGATATGAACAGCTTAAGAGGGGTTAGATTTTATTTGGATAGAAAATAGGACAGGCACATGTTCTAAAGCTAATGAAATGGAGAAAAAATGCAGCGCTAATGAACGCGTAAAAGACCAAAATTAGAGTATTTGCAGATTAGAGTAAATAAAGCCACATAAGAAATTCCCATAGCAAATGAAATGAATATCAGTGATTAAGGGTTTTTTTTCATTTATTTTACTCATTTTTTTTCATAACAGCACATTGATAGATATTTGTCTCATTTGAATGTTGCCACATTGTTAGAACAAGCTTTCTTAGTGTGAACGTTTTACAATTAAGTGTGGGAAACACACAGGAGGAAGGTTAGATGATTGGTTTTTGAGCTATCTAGGATTAATATCTATTTAAAAGGTCAAATGGCTACATAAAAAGTAGGCTGTATTTCCAAAGAACCATTATCAGTATGTAGGATAGTGCTGTCTTATTGGCTCCTTCAATCCAGACAGCTGAGAAGAGTGCCTTCCACATTCTTATAAATCCTCATAAAATTTGCAACAGCCAAAAATGACTTCTGGCAATTTCGTATTTAAAAAAAAAAAAACACTTTTCTCATTGTATGATGGCAAAATAAAACTCATTCACTGTGGGGAAAAAAGAAAAGTTTCTGAGTTCTGACTATTTAGTTTTAGATTTTTTACCAAACTGTATGACTATCTGGTAGAATTACTACGTATCTAGCTCAGAAAGAGAATATGAAGGCTTTAGGTTGTCATCTGGAGTAGATATGGAAAAGACAAAACTACAGCTTAGTACTTATTGGATGCGTTGGGTCAGGGGTAATACTGCGGTTTCATAAGCTTTGCTGAAGCAGAGGGCAGATGCTGACTGTGTTCCCCTAGCTTTTTTAATGTGTTTAGAAGGGTCTGTGGAATTGCAGGTTTCCCCAGAGCTTAGCATTTTGAAGACTGGTGCTGCATGTGAAAGAAACTTCACGAATCGCTCTTCCAAGTTTGTTAGGCGTATTTTCTGGTGGTTGGTTGCAAGGGCTCAGGGCCCAGACGTCATGTCATTATCATACAGCAGGTGAATCAGACTGAATGACTGTGCCCCTGCAAATTCCAACAGAAACTGAGAAAGAGACATTGCATGAGTTAAAACAAGAGAAACTGCAAGAGTTTAAATTTTATTGTAAGGTATTAAAAGTAGTCAGATCTCTCCGTAAAAGGTATGAAAAGCAAACGCTTTTTACCTCAAATTTGCCATGGACAAAGAGCAGGCTCACAGTGGGTTTCTAGTGCTTTTATGATTGCTGGTGACTCATTAAGCCATAATACGTTAATTCACCCCAGCTCTAAGCATTTCCTGTGTGTCAATGGAAACACTGGAAAAAACAGGCAGCAAACAGGGT